CAGCGGGGCGTACACGCAGCGCACCGCCGGTCCCGCACGACACCTCCACAGCCCCACGGGATACACCACGGCCACTGGGACTGTCATTATCAACAGCAGCAGCAGCCGCCATGGTATACCCGCAGGCACAGCACAGCACAACGGCCAACACACACATCACACGGCGTATCATCATCATCATGAGAGAGAGAGACAAGGGGTTTGTTTCACGTAAAAACACTGATCTAGAAAGAAAGACAATCAAAAAGGGAAAAAAGAAAATAACTGAAGTATCAAACATGTTAGGACACACACAAATCGATTACCACTATGGAAACTCACATCGCAAAAGAAAACCCTACCAGTTAAAGAATGAAATAAAGCGCAATAACCTCAGTAAGAGTAAAAACAAAAACAATACCCACACTCACAAATATTTCAAAACAAGCTGAACGACCCAGCAAAATCATCAAGCAAAGATACAGATATTAACCATTAGCCCAATTTACCCAGTAAACATACAGAAATATACACCAACTATGGGTACAAGTCTATGTATATATCCAATTATAAATATAAATTCATCTCTTAATATTATTTCCTTCTTCCCTCTACAAAAAGCAATTCATCATCATTATCACAGTGCAAGCCCAGGTGCACACACAGAGAGAGTCTCCAAGAACACATACAATGGAGTAGTAGCAATAATAATAATTATAGGATAAACATAGAGAGAGCAAAAACACACACAAAACACATAAACATTAAGAAACAAAAAAAGAAGAGAATCCCAAGAGATGGAAGATTAGTTAGACTGTAGGGATGTATGCAAAAAAGAAAACAAAGGATGACCTGAGTCACACCACACTACCACTAGCACAATCAGCACACAAGAATACAGGCCAGTGTAACCACAATCAGTAATGGTACACGCACCCACACAGAACTGCTCATACTGCTGCTGCTGTCTGCTTCACCCTTCTTGTTGTTTGTGAGTTCAGGAGGAAGTGTTGTTGTTGTAGTTGTGGTGGTGCTTGTATCTGTATTTCCTGTAACACCTTCTTCATTTTGGTTGTTTTTCGATTCACTCTCTGCAGATGAAGTATTATTCTTAGTCGCCGTAGCATCAGAACCGGAACTTCCTGTGGCTGAAGTGCTGGGAGAAGGAGAAGGTTGTGTTGCTGTTTCACTTCCACCTTCAGCTGTAGGCACATCAACACACTCTTCAACAGAAGGAGATGTAGGAGTAACTGATCCATCAGGAGCTTGTGCAGGAGGAGTAGATTGTTTATTATCTTCTTCTGTAGGAGGTTGTGCAGGGTCTTGATGACCAGGTTTAGTTTCTCCGGGTTTACCAGAAACACCAATTGAACCTGGGTTACCAGGTACCTGGCCATCTCCTTGAGGATTAGGTGTAGTTCGAACCGGTTCCTGTAGTGAGTGTGTACAATGTGTATCAGATCCATCACGACAACTGTCTTCAGTCTTGTGACCATTGGTAATGCATCCTTCCGACTCAGTAGACTTCTCACAATTAGGACTAGAAGGATCAGATTCACTATGGCCGGCTTTACAATTAGTACCCGTAGCACACGTATCATCACCACCAGAAAGAGGAGGAGGAGGACCAGGTGGTGGTGGTGGACCCGGAGGAGGAGGTGGTTGTTGAAGAGGGCCACCAGCAGCACGTTTGCAAGTTTCACCCTCACCAGAATGAGTGTGACCGTCAGGGCAAGGAACACCAGAAGCATCTTTAAAAGAAGAAGTAGTCGCCTCAGCTGTCACACACAAAGAGACAACACTCAACAGCAAAGCGAGAAAACACAACACACGAGACATCATCACGACAGCAAGATTTAGTTTGTTGTTATAGGCCACTTGAATGCAGAAGAAAGAAGAAATTACGAAAATTAATGGAAACACTCAATACATTAGAAACACACACAGAGAGAAACAAAGGAGAGCACAACACCACAATCAGTCACACAAAACAACATGAGGAGCAAACGAAAAATTATTAGTAACACCGAAAAGAAGCAATACTCCAACATCACTCAGAGTACAACGAAAGAGCACCCCACAATACCCAAATAAGAGAGAACCAAACACACACAATACCACATGGCTCTAGTTTATGTACTAAATTACTGCACACACACACACACACACACATCTGTGTGTACTAGCAAGAGATGTATACCGTCAGTGAGCAGAACAGCCCAGTTTTCTGCAAACACACTCAACGGGAAAAGCAAGTAATGGAATTATTAGAAAAACGAACACACACATAAAAGAAAAAGAAATTCGAATTAAAACGAGAAAGCTGGTAAACAGATTATTAATGTATTCACCCATGGGGGATGTACGCAATTATTGTATTAGTAACACCACTATTATTATTATTTGTCCTCAAATGAGTCCCACCGTTCAGTACACGGTAGCGGAGAACAACACAACCACAATCAGCAGCGGTACTGCAGTGCGCATACACACAGGACTGATACTGCTGTCAGCATTAGCCTTGTTTTTTAGGGTGGAAGTGATGTTGTTGTTGATATCTGAATTGGGTACAGGAGATGAAGTGGTGGTTGGTGCTTCTGTGATAGTGTTGTCGGTGCTCGCCGGAGTAGTGGAAGTGTTTTCTTGTGACTCTGGTGCGGCAGTTTCATCAACATTTGCAGGAGATGGTTGCTGGGTAAGAGTACTGTTACCAACTTCAGTGTTATCCCCTTTGGTATTAGCTGACCTTTGAATATCTTGTGGTGCTGCATTAGAGTCTTGAGTTGTGCTTTGTATTGTTGTGGTACTCGCTCCTGTTTCTGCTTTAACTTCCTCAGCGTCAGTTAAACTTGGAGATGCTGGTCTTTTATTGTTCTCGTGTTCTCCACTTTGTGGGTGGTTGTCCGTGGAAGCACTTACACTAGCGGTCGCACTTTCAGAAGGTCGTTGTGTGGATGTAATTCCTTGTTCTGATCCACTCCGTTGCCCCTGTACACCCACAGCTGTGACTTTCTCCTGTGCGGTTACCATTTCTCTCTCATCAGTGCGAGAACCTGCAGCAGCCTCCTCTTTACTACCATGACCTGTTTTTTTATCCATTTGTTCTCTTAGTAAATTAGCATCTTCATGCGAATCGGTGTTGCGTATTTCAGTCGGAAGTTGTGATCTGCTGAGGTCGGAACCATCCGGTGCACCTGGTCTTCTGGGGTCCGCTGTAGATACCATTGCTTTCTGGTCGAGTTGATTTTTAGTCAGTGAACTTGTAGAACTCGATGATGATGAACTCGTTGTACTTTGCGACCTATCGGGTAGAGGAAACCCTTCCAAACTACTACCGTACAAATCAGGTACATCATGACGTTGAGGAACAACAGCAGGAGTTTGAGCAATCGCACTTCCACAGGCGCAGCACAGCACAACGGCCAACACAAACATCACACGGCGCATGATCATCATCATGAGAGAGAGACAATAGTTCGGTTTCACGTAAAAACACTGATCTAGAAAGAATGACAACCAAAAAGAAAAAAAGAAAATAAATGAAGTATCAAAGACCTTAGGACACACAACCATCGATTACCACTATGGAAACTCACATCGTGAAAGTAAAACCTACCAGTTAAAGAATTCAATACAGTACAATAACCTCAGAAAGAAAAGAAGAAAAAAAGCCCAAACTCATAAATATCTCAAAAAGGCTCAGAGACCCAGCAAAACAAAACAAGCAAATAAACAGAGATTTCAACAATTATCCCAATTTACCCATTAAACACAAAGAAATACACACCAACTATGGGTATAAGTCTATATGTGTGTATAAACAAGCAATTATAAATATAAATTCATCTGTTATTATTATTATTTCATCTTTTTCACTGCAAAAAGCAGTTCATTATCATCATAGTGCAAGCCCACACGCACAGAAAGTCTCCAAGAACACACACACACACAATGGAGTAGTAGCAATAATAATTATAGGATCAACACAGAGAGCAAAAACACACAAAACACACATTAACATTAATAAACAAAAAAACAATTCCAACAGGTGAAAGATTAGTTAGACTGTAGTGTGGATGCAAAAAAAGAAAAGAAAACAAAGGATGACCTGAGTCACACCACAGCACCACCACACAATCAGCACACAAGAATACAGGCCAGTGTAACCACAATCAGTAGTGGTACACGCACCCACACAGAACTGCTGATACTGCTGCTGCTGTCTGCATCACCCTTCTTGTTGTTTGCAGACTCAGGAGGAAGTGTTGTTGTTGTGGTGGTGGTGGATTGCTCATTACGGGTTGTTTCACTCTCTGCAGGGTTCGCAGCAACATTAGTTCCATTATCAGCCGGATTATTCTGAGCTTCAGCTGTGGCCGAACTGCTGTGTGAAGTGTCACCTGTATTGGGAATTGTGCCAGTGGATGGTTCTTGCCCTTCAGCAGTTCCTGTTGTTGTTGTGTTTGTGTTCTCTGTGTTTTGTGAATCAGTGGATTCTGTTTGTGATTGAGATGTGTGTTCGCTTAATGGCTTTCTATTTTCGTGTGATCCAGATTCTTGTACAGAAGAAGCTTCACCTGGTTTAGCTTCTTGTGATGGTTTTAATGCCTCCTGCTTGGCACTTCCCAGTTGTTTCTGCCTTTCCCCTTCTTCTTCGTTAACATGAGAATCACTTTGTTCGTGGGAATTGTGTGTTTGTAAACTGTCTTTGTTTCCCTCAGGAGTACCCTTAACACCCGACGAAGGAGCTTTGTGAGATTCAGAAAGACTTGAGTCAACATCTTCTTCAGCAGAATGGGATCGCGAAGCAGCAACAGCCCTCTCGAGGTCATTGGTTCGTGCTGAAGTATCACCTTCAAGGTTCTGTTTTACTTGTGGAAGAACTGTACCCTCTTTCAAGTGACCACCACCACCAGCAACACCGTCTCCTAGTGAAGCTGACTGCTCTTCTACAGCTTGTTTTAATTGCAAAGAATCTTTCATAGAATCTTCCTGAGGCGGACAATCAGTCTGGTCAGCCGTACACGTTTTGTTACGTTCAAGGGAATCCTGCGTCTCCAAAGTGTGATGATCATCAGTGTTTTTCAGAGGTTCAGGTGCAGGAATTGGATCACTCGCCTCAGCCGTCAAAGACAAACAAACAATGATTAGAAACAAGAACAGCAAACACGGAATACGACAGACTAGATTCATGGCGAAAAATATTTTTTGCTGTCTTAGGTATCTAAATGAAAAAATAAAAGGAACAAAAATACAAAAGAGAGAGAAATTATGGAAGATATTACAAGAAAAACACAAACCACAAAAAAAAGGCATCAGTGTAAGCAAGTACTAGTAGGAATAAAGGGACAAACGCACACAAACCCAAGCAAATTAAAGAAAAACAGTATGAACAGGACCAAGCGAAACATCAAACATACGAACCAGAGAACTATGGGTGTGCTTGAGTTCATAAACAATTCTAAACGTATATATGCAACTGTTATTTATTCTCCCTCTGAAGAAAGCAGAATACCATAACGGTGCTGGAAAAAACCACACACAATGACCCAGCCAACAACACAAGGAAATAAAACAGATATTAAACATTAGCCCAATTTACCAAGTAAACACAGAAATATACACCACCTATGGGTATACGTCTATATGTGTGTATATATACACAATTATAAATATAATTTCATCTGTTATTATTATTTTCCCTTTCCTTCCCACTGCAAAAAGCAGTTCATCATCATCATCACAGTGGAAGCCCAGGCACACACAGAGAGAGTCTCCAAGAACACACACACACACAATGGAGTAGCAATAATAATTATTATAGGATAAACACAGAGAGAGCAAAAACACACAAAACACATTAACATTAAGAAACAAAAAAAGAAGAGAAAATCCCAACATGTGGAAGATTAGTTAGAATGTAGGGATACATGCAAAAAACAAAACAAAACAAAGGATGGCCTGAGTCACACCATCACTACCACTACACAATCAGCACACAAGAATACAGGTCAGTGTAAACACAATCAGTAGTGGTACACGCACCCACACAGAACTGCTGATACTGCTGCTGCTGTCTGCATCACCCTTCTTGTTGTTTGTGAGTTCAGGAGGAATTGTTGTTGTTGTTGTTGTTGAGGTGGTGGTGGTGGTGGTGGTGGTTGATTCCTCATTATTTGGTGTATTGGTAGTGTCAGAGTTTGTGTTCGCTGAATTGTTTGCCGTTGATTCTGCAGAATT